GTCCTGGGCCGGAGTGCAACTGTTGCTCTCAGCAGACGAGCTGGCTCTCAGCTGTTAGAGGAAGGTTGTGCTCCATGAGCTACCGGGAACCAGCCGACGAGCTACCGGTCGATCGCGATCGACTCGTTGGGCACCCCTGGTCTACATCTACAAGTTCAAGTTAAATCTCTACCATGCAAAGCCAAAGCTATTTATACAAAAAAAGAAAAAAAATCCAATAGAACATTAAATATCTTGTCTTTGTCATGTACTCAATGGAATATAGGTTGAAAAGAGTTTGGAAGTTRTTGTATTCTGTTTCTCTTATGTTTAACCCAACTTCATTAGAATTGGGGTTGTGTGACATGTATGTTCCAAATATGTGTATGTAATATTCTGATTGCAACTGTAACACCAACATTTTAGAGACAAGTTGACATCTGTTTTTTTTTTGCATCCACCATATGTCTGGTTGGCTGGCCCGTCTTAGCAGCCGGTATCAGCCGGCGGGTACTGACGGAGAGGCAAGAGAAGAAGGGCAGAGAAAATATAGTTTAACCCTTTATTTTTTTCCCTTCGATCACACACACATGCACACGCACACACTCTCACACGCACACGCACACGCATGCATGCACACACACACACACACACGTCAGCACTCATGCACTGTTTTTCTGCTCCTTCTCCTCCACAAGTGGGTCATACGTCCTGGGTCAGACTGAAATTGAAGCAAGGGCCTATGGGAGTTAGTGGTTGGTTCTGGCTGGATGAGTGTGTAATCATGTGTTTAAATGTACAGAATGTGTGTTATTTGATTTAACAATGTGTAATGTGTCCCCTTTTAAGAAATAATGATTATTTCATTACATTTTGTATGTTGAGTCATCCGGTGTGTCATTGTTCTGACTTTACCCCAGCAGGCCATGTCTTCACGCATGACTTTTTCCAAAAAGGAGATCGCCCCTAGCCCTGTCCCAGTTTGTCTCAATCTGCACAATCTTTCAGTTTTAGTGGGAACAGTTAAAAACAGAAATGTCGAGGTTTGAATTTAAGTCAAGGTTAACAGAAAATATCCTCTCTCCAGAGCAGTGGCGGACAAAGTACTCAACTCTAGTACTTGAGTAAAAGTATTGATACTCAGGGTCAAATCCACTCAACTAAAAGTAAAAGTTACTCCATCAAAAATGTACTCACTTTAAAGTACTGAAGTACTTACTTTTGAAAATACTTTATTCAAAAGTACATGCATTTAAAATTACTCAAGTATTCAAAAGTACAAATTACATTTTCTACTATCAACACATTGCTGTACATTTTCAGAGTGAGTTTACAGAACCTCGTAGCTCTCAGAAAACACCTGATGTATTGACACRTACAACCATTGGCAAAAATTATGGAATCACTGACTCAGAAGATGTTCATTCAGTTGTTTAATTTTGTAGAAAAAAAGCAGATCACAGACATGACACAAAACTAAAGTCATTTCAAATGGCAACTTTCTGGCTTTAAGAAACACTAAAGGAAATCAATAAAAAGACACTTTTCTTATCCCATCAATTGAAAGGATGTTTGGGGATGATGAAATCATTTTTCGAGATGATAGTGCATCGTGCATTAGAGCAAAAACTGTGAAAACATTCCTTGAAAAACAAATACAGAAGGTTGATGTCATGGCCTGCAAATAGTCCAGATCTCAATCCAATTGAAAATCTTTGGTGGAAGTTGAAAAAAAAGACTCCAACCTGCCAAGCTGATCTGGCAACAGCAATCAGAGAAAGTTGGAGCCAGATTGATGAAGAGTGTTTGTCACTCATTAAGTCCATGCCTCAGAGACTGCAGCTGTTAGAGAAGCAAGAGGTGGTTCAACCAAATACTAGTGGTGTTATAGTGTTTTTGTTTCTTTGTTTTTCATGATTCCATAATATTTTTCCTCAGAATTGAGTAATTCCATATTGTTTCCCCTCTGCTTGGCCCAAAAAGGTAACTGTTACTGACTGCCACAACTTTTTCTTGATTGATTTCTTGATTTTTCTTTTAGTGTTTCTTAAAGCCAGAAAGTTGTCATTTGAAATGACTTTAGTTTTGTGTCATGTCTGTGATCTGCCTTTTTTTAATACAAAATTAAACAACTAAATAAGCATCCTCTGAGGCCGGTGATTCCATCATTTTTGTCAGGGGTTGTAGAACCACTCTGCAACAAATTCTACACCACCTGTAAAGACTTCAGCATAAAAATGCAATAAAGTGAGTGGTGAGTTCTTAAATGCACAAATGTAGTTTATCCGTAGTGAACTCATAAGACGTTTAAACTGATAGGAACTATTTTTCAGTCCTAAAATCTCAAACGTAGAGCTGAGATATGATCATGGGTCAATCATCTCCATTGCTGGGTTCTGTCGTTGTGTCCTTGGGCAAGAAATTTCACTCACCTTGCCTACTGATGGTGGTCAGAGGGAGAGAGATGGTGGTGCCGGTGCATGGCAGCCTCACTTCTGTCAGTGTGCCCCAGGGCAGCTGTGGCTACAATGTAGCTTACCACCATCAGTCTGTAAATGTAAAACGCTTTGGGGTCCGGAGGGACTTGATAAAGCACTCTATAAGTTCAGTCCATTTACCATTTACCATTTGTTTGAAATGTAAGTGGGAGCTCAGCTCGCGACCGTTAATGAAGAKGATGTAATTCCAAATTGATCCTAGATGTGAGTTATGACTGTGATTGGTTCCCCATGAGGAACATACTGTGACCAATTGCATTTCAAGAAAGAAAACAGCAACAGCTGATTACAAAGCTATGCTGAACCAAAAGTAACAAGTAACTAAAAGCTTCCTAGAAGTGTAGCGGAGTAAAAAGTACAATCAAAAAGAAAAAAAAATGTATAGGTCTTCTGGACGGGTTCTTCTCTAATGAAACGTTTCGTCTCTCCTCTAAGAGACGAAACGTTTCATTAGAGAAGAACCCGTCCAGAAGACCTATACAATTTATTTTCTTTTTGATTTTTTACCTGGATTACTGAGATGCATCAGGACATAAAAAGTACAATATTTGCCTTTGAAATGTAGTGGAGTGAAAGTAATAAGTACCCCAAAAATTAATTACTCAAGTAAAGTAAAGCTACTCAGAAATGTACTTAATTACAGTACTCGAGTAAATGTACTCCACTACTGTCCACCACTGCTCCAGAGTACGCAGTACATGTGTTTGTGATATATACTTATGTCTCTGCTCTTCCTGTTTTGTTTTGTTTTTGCAGGTATTAGCACATTGATAGCCAAAGGCGTCTATGACACAGCCTTCCCTCTTCACGATGTGAGTGTGTGGTTTAAAGCTCCCATGATACAGCAGTTTATTTTAATGTGCTACATTTTAATTCAGTTGTCCTGGAGTGGACACTCCGTGGGATGTGTATGAATATTAAGTTTAGTGTTTTCCCTCTTTCCTTTATGTCCTTCTTGAMGTTTTAAATAAGTGTCAATAGCAACAAGTTTATAATCTGTTTGGTAAAGATTTGGCAATGTTTTCATGGGTTCAACCAACATACTCAGCTCCACAGCTCATCCCACAAATGCATGTTCCTTACAAATGTGGCACCATTTAAAGGGAATGGTTCAAGTGGTTTACGATTCATTGCCAAGAAGCATTGTTACAACAAAAAATTATCTACCAAACAAATTTTCTTACATTTTGTGCTACTTTTAGTTTCTGTTTGGCTTTTATCAAAACAAACATTAGGTTATTGTTGCCAGAGTAGCTTTTTTATGAATATATCACAAAACTGCTCACGATCTCACCAACTATAACAATATAGCATCCAAAAATTACCCAAAAACTCATCACACAGACGTTTGTTTTTCTGCACTTTCGCGTGGTAAAATCCAAAACAAACCAGCGGCACAGTTTTTTGTTGCATTTGAGAAAACATTCAGATGCTTCAAGATATGCGGTTAAACTGCATGTGCATTAAAATTGTACCAGGGTGCTGTCTCAGGAGGGGTAAGACATATAGACACATWAGTCTGCTTAGGTGGGATGCTAACATGTCAATATGGAACAAAATCTCTGAGGWATGTTTTCACATGCTTGTTGTTTATGCAACAAAGAATTAAAGCAGTTCTGAAAGCAATCCCGGTACTAATGAAGTGGTTGGTGAGTGTGTATTAGTTGTGTTCTGACAGTGTTTGCTGTGTACTTGTGAGTTTTTATTTTTATTTGAGGTGTGTTTGAACGGTGTTCCTTCGCTTTAGCCTTGATTTTTGTAAAATTCTATACTTTTCTAATTATGTTGAGTCATAATGTGTTTCCCAGTTAGTTTAATGTCTAATCTCTTAAATTTAATCCCGATTTTAACTTTTCATTTTCTACAGGGAGACTATAAGGTCGTTGGACAACCTGAGGAGCGAAATGACAGACAGGTGAACCAACTCCTCTCCATCTTTCTGTCTTATGAAAAAAGTACCATGTTGCTATTTGGTTTTATTAAAAGTGACCAGACTTGATTTGTTTTATACAAAACTACATATGAAGTTTAAACAGCTAAAAAGTTAAGAACCATCCAAAGTTTTTCATCTGTGTTTTCTCACTCTTGCGTTTTCCAATCTGTCTAATGCGGCCACAGATTGGCGTTTAAGTTCAATAAACATTTCTCAGATGCAGAGCTAATCTGAAGGTAAAAAAAAGTGTTTACTCAGTTTTCAAATGACAAAGAAAAACAAAAACAGTTTTTTTCAGAAAGCAGCCTGAAAATAAATTTTAATTAGAAGCATTCTGAGAGTGCAAACTTCCACCAAGGCCAATTCCCCCCATTCTGCAATAGAGTTAATGCGCAGAAGGAGAGATGGAAACACATTTGCCGAATAAGTTCTGACGCAGTGAACATTTAAGCAGGCAGTATGCATGGGATTTCTTTCTGGTGGAGTCCAATGYRAAAAAAGTACGAGACTCGTCACCCGACATCCACAAACTGGTCCCGGATTAAGCTCCCTCATCAGACAGATTCCACCGTTTAAAACATCTGTTTTATCCATTTTTATGTGTTTTTAACGGTTTGGTTATCTCTAGAAACTGCTGCTTCCTGGTACAGTCGGCTCTGGAAGCGACTTGGCTTTTTTTCTTCTTTTTACCTCCGCCAAGGGAGGAGGTAATGTTTTCGGTCGCGTCTGTCTGTCTGTCTGTCTGTCTGTCTGTCTGTCTGTCTGTCTGTCTGTGGACAAAATTACTCAAAAACCTATGGACGGATTTTCATTAAATTTTCACCACAAGTGGGAATTAGCCAAAAGTAGACACCATTAAATTTTGGTGATGATCCGGATCACGATCCTGACCCAAGAACAGCTAATCAGCTTCAAGGAAGCTGACCGTAGACTTCCAATCACATTGGATCATTCGAAGACGGGTCAACCCCCTGACTGTAGACATCCAATGGGATTGCCTGAACCCGTGTAGAAGACCAATCACAAAGGCGCATGGAAATAAAACTTTAGACCGAATTGTTTTTAAATCGAAAAACTTACTGTTTGAAGTTACTTTAATGTAACAACAGATCATTTTCATAATACATCGGCCTGCGCGTCTTAACAATTTTTTATTTTGTGTTTACATTTTTGGAGTTTTTTCCCCCACCTGTATCAGAAAGGGGAAAGTAAGCTAGCTAACTCACCATCCCCCGTTCAAGTCTGTTATCCAATAGGTAACGCTAAGGTCTTCTTAAACATTTATGTTTATTCTGTTTTTTTTATGGCTAAATGTTTTCTTTTTTCTGATGCTGTTCCACTCCTTCTGTTGCACGTAATTTATTACGTGTTTAGTCATTGTAAAGCACTTGAACACAATCACACATATGACTAAAAATGTAATAAATCACACAAAAAACAAACACACACACTCACACAAAAACATACAGCCTTGGCAGAGGTTTGCGCTCTCCGAGTGCTTCTAGTTTTTTATTTTTTATTTTTTTTGAAGCAAGTTGTTTAAGAAAAAATACAGCGTCTGAGCACTTTCAGCACAAATACATTCTCCCACAAACTTCTGACCAATCACACAATAAAGTTCTTATGTGAAGGGGGTACCTCACAAGGGTCCAGCTTCGGCTTGGCTGCAGCAGGACTCTCCCCCCGCTGTCGGTGACTTCTGTTATTCCCRTAATGTGAACAGAATCACATTTCTTTTTCTATGTCTCYAGATAGCATGTAACATCATCAAAACTAGATAACAGAATAATCACAACATTCAATAGTAGACATCCTGGGATGTGCAGTCCCAGTGAGTTTGCAACTTGTACTTCCTTTTTCCTGCATGCATCTGATGTAATGACACTTTGCGTAGCCTGGCTGATTCTCTTGAATTAAAAGAAAAATTCCTGTATACACTTCGTGAAATGGAACATCTGCAAAATTTATTGRTGTGTTCCTTTGGCCAATATCCACATGTGGTAAAATTTTCAAGGCAATCCGTACACAAGTTTTTGAGTAATTTTGTCCACAGACAGACAGACACACGCGACCAAAAACATTACCTCTTCCCTTGGCGGAGGTAATAAATACATTGATTCAAAAAAGGCAAACTGAAAACATTTGAAGAAATTAGCGAGATAATGAAACAAAGATAATTGCGTTCTTAAATGTACTTTCATAAAAAATAGAATGAACCACTGACCCTTAATGGCTTCAACAAATTTCAAAGAGCATTGTAGAGAGGAGAGAGAGACGAACTGAGGAGGGAATTTGCTCCAATTTTCGATTGCCCTCAGTGGAAAACAGTGCAAAATAATTAAGTGCTGATGCACATTCAGACATCTGGAAATTGTACCAAGGATGAACCAGAGTTTGTAGAGATCAACAGTTCCTGGTATCAAGGCTAATTTCTTTAGATTGTCTCTTGATGCTAGTGCCACACAAAGCCATGTTTGAGGTGTGTTTTAAAATTCATCCACAGGTGGGCTTCTAATTAACTCAAACGTTATCAGATAACCTATAATATACAGTATTATAATTTGGGCATTTAGCCAATGGAAATTGTGGGATTCCTAACTGACAGTGTATAAAAGAAAAGACAGTGGAAAAATAGTTATTTACATGGTAAAATAGACCTTTCCTCCAAGGATATGCAATCCTGTTCTCACTGAACCAGACACCTTGGTATTATAAGGCTTTATAATACTCCCTTGCTTCTCTCTTACTGTGTTTCACTTGTCTTCAGGATAAAGTTACTTAAACTGCAGCTTCAGGCTTTGTCCTGGAAGGTTTATTTCAACCAATCAGAACGTGCCTGCCTCCAGATCAGCTGTGCCTCTGAAAACAGTTTTTTTTTCGACTTTCAACATGACAACATACACCCACACTGACTCTGAACATCTCCCTCTCTCTTTCTCTTTCTCTCTCTGTGCGCTTTCAGGTTCTGCACGAAGAGTGGGCAAGATACTCTGCCTTCTACAAGTACCAGCCCATTGATCTGGTCAGGTAACGTGACCGCAGTGAGTTGTAGTTGGGTGTCGGTCAGTGCAAAATGAGAAGGTGTCCGCTAATCCTAAGTGCTACAAAAAAAGACAGTTGTACTTCCTTTCAGGGCAAACAAGCTATCTTTCAAGAAGTATCAAGTTAAGTTTGGTTACCTTGTTTTTAGGCACTGCTGAACAACACTGAACCGCATTTGTGYGCCCGCCGCCCTGGTTCCACAAAGCCACATTGGAGATACAGCAAATATATTGTTACAGAGATCTCCATTAATTCCCAGCATAAAATCCTGCATTAACCTGATCTCTTCAGTGATAAGGGGAAAGAGATGTCACAAAATCACTATTCTTTTTAGTATCCACAGTAAGAAAACTTGTTGTGAGCAGTAGTGCTACATTTAGCTGCAGTAACCATACAAAACATCAAAAAATGATTGTATTCATGATGTTCATAAAACAAGCAGTGGCAATCATGAACCCAGTGAACACAAAAAAAAGAAATTGTGTGTGTGTGTGTGTGTGTGGGGGGGGGGTCTTTTAAATTGATAGTCCAGTGAACTTTGAAGTCTAATAGCTTTCAATACTTGGTAACTTAATACATCGGTCATAGAGCACCAAGTATGAAGAAAGAGGCTAATCCCCAATTTACAATGCATCCGCTCCACTCCGGCATCCTGTCCGCTGTAAAAACATGCCCATTCTAATCAACGAGAGCATTTACACTGCCACTGCAGGGCCAGATGGTGGAGTAAGTTCAATCGACAAAAATCACACCACACTGCACCAACGGGAAAACGAATGAGCACATCCGTTATTTCAAAATAATTCACCAAAGGCAGACTAATTTTGTCGAAATCCTATCAAAATAATAAACATATGGGTATATTTATACATACATGCTATCAAAATGTATCGTTCTGTTTGGGAAGCAGATGGCAGCATGTGCATATGCAAAATGTGGATTTCATTTTGAAATATGAAATTATAAACAACAACAACAGCGTTTCAGTTTCAACTGTTCTTACCAGTCTGTCCTCCACAGAATTCATTAATTTGACCTGACTTTCACATTTATCACTGGTTTTATCGCACGACCTCGCATTTCCTGCGTATGCTTCTCAGAGCACCTCTGCGCTTCGCAGCTGAACGGAGCCACAGGGAGTGTAATTCTGGGTAGTCTTCATTCAAGCTAGGCTAATGGCTAACAACATAAGGTCCTGTTTTTTGCAATAATGTTTTTTGTATTGTTTTATCAAGGGCAATGTTTGTTGAAATACAGGGGGCAGAGAAGCTGGTTCTGTTCTGGCTGCAACGTCTAGTAAAAGGGGTGCCCAAACCTTTTCTCCCCAAAACAACCAAAATGAAAATCCATCTGAGAGCTGCTAAATTCAATAATACAATACATGAAATGTAAATACTTTTTATTTTATATGATTCAGCAAGCAGCCAGTGCGGTCRCCCATGTTTTGTTATTTTTTTTAGCCCGTGCACTTGTTGAAAGTTTGATGTATGCTCGGGCAGCAAAGGCTCATGGGACGTTTATTGATCAAATATGAGTATTYATGGTCTTATAAAGTGTGAAAATCTACATGTGTGCTTAAATCTAATCTAAATATCTCTTGTAGTTACTTGTATTTCCTGTTTAATCTTAATGTACCGCAAAGTATAGCAAGTATACATGAGTGAAAACTATTTGCACTACAGTCCCTTATAGACATTGGGTCAGTAGATGGAAAGACTGTAAGTGGAAATACAGATTACAACCTACTAAACAGGGCAAAAGCTGGTGGGCCAAATCAAATGGATTGGTGGGCCAATTTCTACTCACTTGGGGCTCCAGTGATCTAATATTTCAATGTACTGTCAGTGGTGACCACTAATGTTTATTATAGCCCAATGCTTTATAGCTGACAGCACCACCTGCTGACAGTACATGTACTTAGTTCAAAACTGTTAAAAGAATTAGGTTTACACCTCCTCTCTGAGGTGATATATCATAGGTTCACATTAAAAATGTATCCGTTTATGTCAAATCCCCAAATCAGCTAATCAAACGTAACACAACTGTGATCAAACTCGTCACTGTGACTGTCTCCCTCTCACAGGAAGTACTTCGGAGAGAAGATTGGCTTGTACTTTGCGTGGCTTGGTGTTTACACTCAACTGCTCATCTTGGCCTCTATAGTGGGAATCATTGTGTTTGGATATGGGGTGGCGACGATGGATACTGACATACCCAGGTACGACCAACCGAGAACCACTGGAGAAACCTCAAGTGTTGCTGTTGAGTTATTGTCAACCAGTGAGCAAAATATCTCAAGAAATTTGTTACATTTTTAGAACATATTAAWGAAATTGGTATCTACAACTAAATAAATCAAGTCAATTGAAGACGTCCCCTTAGCAAACACATAATGAAGGTATAATTCAGTCAGTTTCACATTTTCATTACACAAATGGAGAAAATAAGGATTTCTTTCTACCTTCTGTTTTAATGTATRCACACCTGCACATTCACACATGCATGAGACAGGGAATGCCCAGATACCTGCTGGATCTGGCTTTAGTCACGGTTGTGGGGGAGGCACACAGAAACACGGCTTGGCAGCGAGTGTGTCATGAATTCAGCCCACACCGACTCTGAATAGGGTCGAAAAGACAAAAGCTTGCAAGGTAGTTACGAGTTAAAAGTTCCATTCATTCCTTGTGATTTTATTTTATTTATTTAATTTTTTTGCTGGTATGGAAATCCCCGCCTCCGCTTTGTGCCACGCATGGTTAACGCTGACACATCTGACAGTAGGTACTCTGGATGAAGTTTTCTGCCTTTTTATTCCCCTGTCTTTTAGTTTGGAGATGTGCAACGATCGTCTCAACTTCACCATGTGTCCCCTGTGTGACGGGGCGTGCGACTACTGGCATCTCAGCAACGCCTGCGGCACCGCCAGGGCCTCGCATCTCTTTGATAACCCCGCCACAGTCTTCTTCGCCATCTTCATGTCCCTGTGGGGTGAGGTTATGTGTCTCATATTTGCTGTGTGTGTGTGTGTGTGTGTGTGTGTGTGTGTGTGTGNGTGTGTGTGTGTGTGTGTGTGTGTGTGTGTGTGTGTGCGAGAACAGGAGAACAGGTGAGCTGCTGGTGTTGTTAGTTTCTCATTAATATCTAATGAACTGTATCTCAAAGTGAACGTTGTAAAACAGCAAAGGTTCAAAGATTGACACCTTTAGCAGATGTGCTTTCATGTGAAACATTTTTGRAAACATTCTGAAAACAAAAAGGAAATCACTAATCCTACCATTAAAGTGCCTGTGATATGTATATTCTTCATATAAAAAGTCAAAGAAAACATTGTTATATGTAAGGAACTTGGCATAAAACACACATAACTGGCATTATTTCTTTGAACTTGGTTCAACAAAAGAGAAACAGGAAGTGACATCAAAGGGGAACTCTTTAAGAAAAGGGACTCCATGGTCTTTGTTCATTGAAACAATATTATTTGAACTCTGACTCCTTTACATCTCTCTCAGATAGTCACTCAAAATAAATTGAAGAAAATTCTTCTCTACAGTCTGTGTTGTTAACCATTTTAGTAACAATGTTCACATGCAGATATTCCCCTTTGACATCACTTCCTGTTCCTTCACATGTAAATTTCTCAACAACTTTTAATCTGAGTGGCGTAAAATTTGTTTTGTAATATGTTATTAATGTTGTCTTTCTGAAAATGCACTCATATTTGTTACAAAAACTGGATGTCATAGGCACTTTAAGTGTTCATTCTAGTAATACATTAGAGTCAAGCATTGTAGAGGTAGTGCCTAACGTCAGTAACCTGTTTCAGCACCTAAAATGTGAGTAATTGTCTTTTTGTCCAACAATCTTCCCTCTTCAACTATTTTCACATTCTGTGCATCTTCTTTTATTTATTTATTTTTTCTAAATATTGCCAGCTAGGGGTCATATTAAGATTAAAACTTAGTTTTATTAGATTTATTTACCCTTTCTTATGACTTTACTAATAAATATCCTTTTGAGTGGAAGCAATAGATCGTTGGATTTATAATAATAATAATAACAATAATAATACATTTTATTTCAAAGGCGCCTTTCTGGCACTCAAGGACACCGTACAAAGAGTAAAAAGTAACAGAAACAAATAAAATGTAACAATAAAAAATAGATTAAAATAAATAAAAAACAATGTATCTATATAAAATCTATGTAAAAATCTATGTAAAAATCAGGCAACCAATTGTGTCATGTGGAAAAGGCAGATCTAAAAAGGTGTGTATTGAGTTCGGTTTTAAAATTTGAGAATGACTATGTTCCTAAGGTGGGGTGGTAATGAGTTCCAGAGTTGGGGAGCAGAGCGACTGAAAGCTCTGCTCCCCATGGTGGTGAGACGGGCRGAGGGGACAGTCAAATGGATGGAAGAGGATGATCTGAGGGAGCGAGAGGGAATGGAAATATGAATAAGATTTGAAAGATATGGTGGGGAGAGATTGTAAAGRGCCTTGAAAGTGTACAGAAGAATTTTGTATTCTATGCGGATCATTAAAAAGTGGGGCAGGTTTATTAACATGTAATAAAGACTTTAGGCGTGTAAAACTACAAACATCTCCTCCTGTGGCTGCAGAAAACAAGATAATTTACAACATTTCTGAATTCTAAACCTAAAAAAGTCATATTTATTTTCATTATGGAATGCAATAATGACACAAAATGTTGAAAATGTGCCTTTTTGCAAATAAGGGCATTTTGAACATGCAGCATGTCTAAAAAATGGGATAGGTGCAATAGAAGGCCTTAAAACTAAATGGTACAGATAAAAAACAGTTGGGGAGGCATTTTGCAACTAATGCCTGGTTCACGTGGTAAGAGTTTAAAATCGTGGGTTGATTTTCAAAACCTGAAAACTCATAGACATATCTACAGTGTGTGGTGTACAGCTAGTAAAGAGAGGATGGACCGTCTGTTCTAAAGCCTGCCTCTCTGATGGTATGGGGGTGCATTAGTGCCTACAGCAAGGGCATGATCTCCCAAGGGGAAACCTTGTATTTTTCAGTAAGGAATTCCTAAACTGCATCCTGTGTTTATATTTCAACAGCATGACTTTGCAGTAGAAGAGTCTCKGTRCAGGTTTTCAGATGATCTTTTCACTTTCTATATAAAATTCACTTGAGATACAGTCAAGCGATTGTGAAGAAACTTTATCTTTTTTTAAGTTAGATAGACTTCTTTAGACTAGAAGAATTTGACAGTTGTTCAGTATTTTCTGTGTTTGTGTGAAACTCATAGCTGTGCTGTTCCTGGAGCAGTGGAAGCGTCGGCAGATAAGTTTGAGTTTCAGCTGGGATCTGACAGGCATGGACGAGGACGAGGTAAAGGCTCCAAACCCCTCAGTCCCGTGCAATACATATTATTTTTATTGGAGAAAATTCTAAGACTCCAGCATTCTCTGTTTATTTAAGGAAAGAATTGCCTTCATTGGAGACCAGTGGTCTTTTATGGTAGTATTAATTCCTGATATTTAAAGCGTGAAAACTCTGTGTGGGTTTCTTTTTCCAAACTAGGTTGAAATATACATGTGCAGCATGGAAACTACTGATAATTCACACATGCATACATAAAAAAACTTATTTTTTTTGGGGGGGGTGTCTTTTTTTTTCTTTAGGAACACCCACGACCAAAATATGAGACCATCCTTCTTCAGAAGCGGCAGAAGAAGCAGGAAAAAAAGAAAAAGAAGAAAAAGAAAGGGGTAAGAATTAGAAAACATTTTGTCTCGTGTTTGCAGAGTAAAACTGAAAGATGTTCTCTCCCTTTTATTTTGTTAATGTTAGCCTATCTAAAGACAGCTAATGATCTAGATCCACTGAGTAAACTGGGTCAYGAGTCCCGTCGGTCCACAAAGACCACTGTGACCAGAGTGAAGCAGAAACAGCATGGACCCACACGAGGTTTTAATATATATCGTTTGGRGTTTACATTGCAGTTCAAACTGCATTTAGTTCTCGTATTGAGRTTAAAAACATACTTGTTCCAAATCAGTGGTTATAATCAAAACGAACCAGGAAAAGCAGCCAGAAAGCTATGAGTCATCCATGTTGCATGCCATACCCTCTTAATCTTAAATAACCCTCTGACCCTCTTAATCTAATTAGCAACAAATTATGTCAGAACACAGATAAGAACTTCATCTCATTTGCTTTCAAGCGCAAAGACTTTTAGGCGAAAGGCGTGGTCATGACGGTGTGGCAAAGTCAGACATCACGCTGCTGACAAACGTTAGGCTCTAAATTCCACATATTTCTGCTGATCTGCACCAAATTCACTATGCTTGATCCTAATCCACCCCGCTACAGGAATGCAGTCAATTTTTTGGGGGGGCGTGGCCTTTTTCCTCCACAACAGCTTGTACAAATTATTTTAAAAAATTGCCGCAACCCATGCTTGGACCTGGAATCATGAAATTTGGTACACGCGTGTAACGTCTCAAGACCTAAAAAAAAGTCTCATAGAGTCATGGTCCCACTTTGCACATGATTGGCTATAAATCACACATACATGATCCGATCTGAACCAAGTTTTGTG